GTCCTAGCATATGGGACGAGGAATGTGCCTTTATTTTTGTGTCTTTCAGAGTATTTTATTAAATTTTGTTTTTGTATTTGAAGATTATGGTTCAGTGTTTTATGTATAATTGCTACTTTACTTTTGAGTCTTCTGTCCTGAAGGCTTTCTAAATTTAGTGATTTTACTAATGGTGTTACCCTAGTCAAATGTGAATATTCGTTTGTTATGAATCTCACTGCTCTATTTTGTGTTTGTTCCAGTTTCTTAATGTTTTCTTGAGTTGAGGGGTCCCACACGGTGGATGCATATTCTATTATTGGCCTAACCAAGGTTAAATAACATTTTAGTTTTATGTTCTTATTTGATTTATAGAAATTTCTTTTAATAAACCCTAATGCTTTGTTGGATTTTTTTATAGTTTCATCAATATGTGGATTCCATGACAGTTTTTCATTTATTATAACACCTAGGTATTTTGAGTTTTTAGTCTGTGTTACTGGTTTGCCATGAATAAGATAAGTGGAATTAATTTGTTTTAGTTTTTTTGTTACTCTTAACAACTGACATTTTTCTGGGTGGAAAGACATGCTCCAATTTGATTCCCATTTCTGTAATTCATCTAATTCTCTTTGTAAAATATCTGTGTCTTGTTTTGTTTTTATTGTTCTATATATTATGCAATCGTCTGCAAATAATCTGACTTTTGTTCCTGAACTAATGCAATTTGGTAAATCATTTATGTAAATTAAAAATAGTAGTGGACCCAAAACTGTTCCTTGAGGTACACCTGAGTTTACTGTTATTGGTGTTGATTTAGAGCCATTTATTATTACAGTTTGTTCTCTCCCTATCAGAAAATCTTTAATCCACTGATGCAGTGGACCGTTAATGCCGAAATATTTTAATTTTTTAAGCAAACTATGGTGGTGAACTTTGTCAAAAGCCTTGGAAAAATCTAGTAAGATAGCATCTATTTGTTCACTATTATCTAAACCTTTTGAAAAATCATCAATTAGTCCTATTAGTTGTGTTTCACATGATCTATATTTCCTAAAGCCATGTTGGTATGGGGTGAGGACATTATGTTTGTCTAAGTGGTTTATGATATTGCTACATATTATGTGTTCTAGTATTTTACATGTGATGCTGGTAAGTGATACTGGTCTGTAGTTTCCTGGATCAGATTTTTCTCCTTTTTTAAATAAAAACTGCAGCAATAAAGCTGGCTAGAAGAAGAAGAAGTAGTAAGGAGGCTGGCTAATGTATTCGTAAAGAAACAAAACACTGATATTTTTTTAGCTATACATCCATTTTTTTTAAAATAATATATTATTACGAGTACGAGACATCAAGCATCTTTTAAGTTAGAAACATGAAATGTAGGCCTATACCGTTTTCGCGATTAACGTTTGCAACAATCTCAACTCTAAACTGTTTGAACAAGACATTTCAAGAATTCTCCGTTGAAACTATTTGCCTCGACTTTCGGTAAGTTAGAACGTACTTTTTTGTCTCGACACCAATACGTCGTAGGCTATTTAACACGAAGATCACACTCATTACACATAGTTACGTGCACCCATTACATAGGACTTATATAGGCCTACACTGGCGGATCCCCTCCCCCTCATGTTCAATTCATATATCGAGTCGCCCCACCCTCTATTTTCTGTCAACTTCAATCATTAGCAATAACTATAAAATAAAGAGGGGACTTTTACATGACTTGTTTTCACTCTATACCGTCCCCTCCCCTTTTCCGACGAAATTATGACTGTTAAAACAGATACGCGAATATGGAGTCTATGAATTGCGCATGCTAAAGAAAATTTAGAATTCACGAGAATAAGTATAAGAGTAACAATTGAGATAAGTTCTTAACCAAACATATTTTTTTCCTAGTCTCCGTTTTCCACATTTACTCAATCTGAGATTTTTGTTTCTATTGACTTCATTTCTTCTCCCTCTTTCCAAATGTTTGTATTCAGAGCATTGAAGTGTAGTTCTGTAACTTATAAATGAACGTCTTTTTCAAATATTATTTTTTAAAGACATTTTTTTTATATTCGGCAGCGACCCCAAAGCCTTAATCTAAATCATTTTTATCATAATGTGGGGTACATGTGTTCAACCCTCCCCTCCAAATGAAATCCTCCCCCCCCCCCCATTCCGGGAGGGGAATTTTGTGACCGATTTTTTGCTTTGCTTTGTTTTTTTTAAGGTGACATTTTAATGTTAAACCCTTCCTTCACTTCCCCAGCGCATGAAAAAAAAGGGGGGGGGGGAGTTTAAAATTCACTCCTGGGTGTTTTAAGGTTAACCCCCACTCCCTCTTATATAAAACAAAAAATAATGCAAACGACAGTCACCAAATTCCATGATCGTAGCCAAGGGGGATTTTGAGATTAAAACCCTCTCAAAAATTATTTTTACAGTAAAAACCCCTCGTCAATATGAGTCTAAAGCATAGGTACAACAGGCACTAGATTCTACGAGACTAGCCAAGAGAGGTTTTGAGTTAAAAAATAAAACTCCCCCCCCCCCAATCAAGCGGGGTTTGAAGCTAAAAACTACCTCAATATAAATTAAAGCAAACCACTGTCACAAAATTCTATGAGCGTAGCCAAGGGGGTTTTGAGTTTACCCCCACCCTCTCCAGATGGCTTAAGTTTAAAAAAACCTCCAGATGGTTTGTTAAAAAATCCCTTTTCAATATTATTCTAAAGCCCACTACAGTCACTAATTCTGGGGTTTTGAGTTTGTTTGTTTTTAACTCCACATATTGTTTAGTTTAAACACCCCACCAGATGGTTTTTACGATAAAACTTCCATTTTCAATATAAAATCTAAAGCAAACTATAGGTCACCAAATTTCATGAGCGTAGCCAATGGTAGTTACTGATTTCTACCAGTCGCTTGGCTCCATTAATATAGTGTAGTGAATAGTAGATATGGTTTTTGAACTAAAATTTTTTTAATAGCAGGAGAATGCACTGTAGATACCTCAGAATATGCATTTTTTTTTGTTTCAAATACCGGAAATAGATTAGTGCCCTGGCTGGCAAAAGATGGGTGTCTTTACACTAATTTCAGGAAAAACCTTTACTAAGGGGAAAATAAACGTCTTCTGAAAGTATGAAGGGTCGGAATGTAATAAAGATTAATAAGGTTACACACACACACTTGGCGGGGGGAGGGGGGGGAGAAAAAAATCCTGGCTGCACCCAGGGTGGGGTATCCTTTTCTTTTCATAGAAAAAATTGGTTGTATTTGCATTGTAGATAGGACCTATAAATTCATATTAGAATATTTTTCAAGTAAAGACGATTCAAAAGTTTCTTAAGAATTAGACATTTTGCACGGCAAAATGGTCCAATATCCAAAAAGCGTTTTGACGTCTTATTATTTGGACTAAAACAGGCAGACTACAAGAGTAACCGAATCACTGGAAACGGCAGTGTCAATGTAGACACTTGTAAGACCCTTTTATATCAAAGCCATCATAGAATGGGTGTAATCTTAATAAATAAATACAATTAGCATAAAGTTTGTAGCTTTGGAAAACAAAAGACATTTCCATGGGGAGAGCACCAATAACAATACATCATGTTAAATTATATCGAGAGCTCCCTGATTTGGAAACCACTGCCCAGTTCATCTCATGTATTGGTCTAGTCATCTAAACGCTCCAACATAACAATGAGAACGAAGAAGAATAAGAAGAAGAATGTTAAAACAAAGTCCTAAGGGAGACCATCATATGTCAACATTGCAAGGAAATAAAGTGATACTCCCAAATCAAACTGTAGTATCAGCATCCATGCAGGTCCAGCTATAAGCCAATAGAGATAGACACATATTTTTTGAAAAGACTTTAGCAAGAAGTAACACATATAATACTCAAATTTTTGGAATCTGTTGAAGTGATGAGACTAGGTTTGAGGGTTTATATCAAATGTTTGTTATGACTCAAAGGGGCCACCAGTCTCAATAAGAAGACAATTCTTATTTACATTTTTTTGTAAAATAATTAGTTATTATTTAGTCAATGAAAAAGACACAGCACCACCAAAATGAAACTATTAACATCACTTTTAAATGTTTTATTTTAGCAAGTAGCAGGCAGTAAGCCTAGGGGTTATAATCAAACTGATTGACAAATAGTTAATTTTACAAACATTGAAATCAATGTGTATACTTGACTATATGCATTGGTATTGTGTAAAATATATACATCACATAATCATAATTAAATCTGGAACCACCCAACAAAAGGACTATATTTAAATAAAGTATAAATATTCCATATGTATAACATAAATACCTAGGTATATAAATTTTGTATATCAGCCATAAAGTAAAAAAGTAGTATTTAGTAATGCTTTATAAATATTCCAATGCATACTTTCAACATAAACATAATATATGGTTAGAAAAAAAAATCAAATAGTTAAAAAAATAAACCAAAAAATCTAATCTAATAGTTAAAAAAAACAACAAAAAACTATTGTGATAGTTTAAAAAAAAACAACTTGTTCACTACATTAGAGATTCACACTAAACATTATTTAACCTAATACAGTTTCTAATGAAGTTATATGATCAAACAAAGTTTTAGAAGTAAAGTAACATTAAAATTAATGCTGCAAAATATAAAATTAAATCAAAGAGAAAATCTAATTGAAGTAGGTCTTTCAATACAGAAAAATAGCTACTGTCAACAGTAATGACCAAAAATACAACATAAATACTTTTTATCTAATTTATGTGTCTAAGACAGACTAAATAAAACACACATAAGCAAGTTAACATGAACATTTCTTACTGATGAAATGTGTTACAATTTACAAAAAGGGTGGGAGGGATGTAATGGTTTATTGAATTAATGTTTACAAAGCTATTAACATTAAGTTAAAATGTTTGACAAAAGCTATACAACTTTTTTTATTGGGATCCCTCCACTACAAAAAAAGGACTAGAAAGGATTTCCCAAAAGGGCTGAAAGATTTATCACAATTTTGTTTTCAGTCACAAGTTTTTGACCATCACTAAATGTATATAACTCCAGGGCACAATATAAAAAAAATATGAACAATTAAACAGTAAAGCTTTCTTGGAGGCTTTATCTAGTGTCACAAGAATTTAATATTTCAATAAGAGAAAGTAGCTTGGTATTGATATTAGAACATTAGATTACAGCATTAACATTTATTCAATTTCCTGAAAGGACCCAGAATAATACAAACTTTGAATCTCTAGTGATATCAATAGCAAATCACAGTGGACATCATTTTTTTTTTACAAAGCCTACATCAACTCACTCTGTTTTGTATAAAGTTAGTACACCTTATTTCTCCCACACCCAATCAAGCTGAAATTTTGCACAATTATTTCTTTGCATGTCAACACAAGATTCACAAAAAAAAAAATAAATCAAGCAATTATTCCATTAACTATTGGTAATTAATTATTTTGTTTTGTAAGAAAGAAATTTTACTCGACTGATAGGGTGGTATAAGTTGAATTAGTCCCCTTTAATGTTTGTAAAAAACTATTAAACAATTTTCCTAAGCAGCTCCCTGGCACAGTGGTTACCATATAGGCTTGAGGGAGATGAAGGAGGCCTTAGCAATTGAGTTCGAATTCAGGTTGCTCACTTTTTTTTATAAATACATTTAAAAAGTGATCACCCAGATACCCCCTTCTTTCTACCCCCTCCCTCTCTCCAACAGGTCCAGACAAGTGATAAGATCATAGCTATTGAGAAAGCTAAAAGCATGATATTGCGCTAAACAAAAACTGATTCTAAAAATATTTCTAATCACACAGGTTTATTATTGTTAGTCTAGCTAGATCTATTACAAATTTAATTACATGACTGATCATTACATGACTGATTACATGACTGATCCAAACTAATTGATGCAATTAACTTAATATAAGCTTTGTTTTTTTTTACTACTAAAAATACTAAGTATTTTTGTTTATTTTGCTTGTTACAGCTACTATTTCTATTTCTCTTAAATCATAATCAGTTCTAATAGACAGATGAAAAAAATGGAAAACTGCTAAAATTTAGATTAATTATAAACTTTACAATTTATAAGTCTTTGAATTAAAAAACATTTCATTTTAAATATCTCACTGCCATTTAGTGTCTAGAACTTAATTCACTTGCCTACATTTAAATCTTTTAAAGATCTTTATAATATCTCATAAAATAAAAACATTGTTGAGAAATTAAAATTTTAGAAAAATTTGAAACATTAAGTTTAAATACATAGCAATAATAAAAAAAACAAAACTAACAATTTCTTTTAGTGTAGATTCAATAAACACCTTACTTTTGTTTCAAAAATTGTACAGCTCCAAAAATGACTGCACCTCCTATTGCAGTAACTGCACCTATGGTTAACCATGACATTTTGGAAAACTTTTTAGATTGTCTTGATCCAATTAATTTGGTTTCTGTGTCTGCTCTAACAACTTTCAGGAAGGGCATTATACCTGTAAAAAAAAAGTTTTACTCAAGATTACTGCCACACTCACTAAACATGTGCATGGAACATGGTGGCAATGGAAACTACTATAAGAAAGCACAACAGATGATCCTAAGTTCAGATCTTAGTAGTGTCTTGGATTTTTTTCTGGATATTAACTCTTTCAGCTCTTAAGTATTTTATAGAAAAAATGTAGTTTTCCTTGATGAACACAAATTTTCAAGGGGAGTAGATTACTAAAACTAATATAACTTTATTATTTTATTAAACAATCTAACCTATTTGTATTTTAAATGAAAATGAATGAGCTACAAAATTATAATAGATAAAATAAATAATTCAAAAAATTTTAAACTGTGCACGGAAAAAGAAAATATTATAAAAATTCATTTAAAATCGATATACTGAAAGATTTAATCTTTTAATTATGTAATCCATAAATATTAAAAAATCACAAAACTAAACACATTTCATAAAAGATGAACAAATGCTATAGAAATTGAATTATTTACATTTTTCAAGTCCCTGGAAATAAATTAAAAAAGAGGAACCATTAACACAACATTGTCTTTTTTTTAAATATGTGTTGGTATTGCATAGAATTTACTACCAAAATAAAGAGCCATCACTCCCACATCCGGAAAATGAAAAAAAAAGAGAGAAATAAAAAAGTTTAACAAAAAATATAGTAAAATAAATATTATAAACCAAGTTACTCGCTGAGAGTAACACCGCAATGAAAGAGTTAATTCCCTGATATTTGATGGGATCAAGGCAGCTTATTATCTCCCTGGATTTGACAAAAGTCAAGGCAGTTGGTAGTTGATTGATCAACTCCATAAAATTTGATGGTGTCATTGCAGTTGGGGTTATTGTTGGATCCCCTGCTTTGCTGTTGGCCACAGAAACTAGTGAATTTAAAAACATCTGCTTGCAGGAAGTCTAGGTCACCTCCTCACCTCGCTTGTAACAGAACACTCTTTTTTCATTTTTTTATTAGTGGCTATTAAGAAACAATTAGATGGAAGAAATTCAAATCAACTCAATAAAAATTTGTAGGAGAAATTTATAAATATATTTAAAAAAGCAAGGAAAAAAAATCATAACATGAGAAAAGTCTAAAGATTAGTTAAAGTAATCTCTAGCTTACTTGTTCCACCAGTTCCTTTACTGTCCAGACTTTTGTATTTGCCTTCATTCATTCCCACTGATGCTGCAAGAATGTATCTGTTGTGAAGAGAAATCAGATATTAGCTTAACAATTCTCATACTTTAATTCAATAACTGTTTTTGATCAAACTAGATTTTATTATTGATTTTTAAGATATTCTAAACATGCCTAAATGTTTTATTTAATCATTTCTTGTTCTAAGAGATACTAAAGTGACATAAATTATAGTCTGTACTAACTTGGAAACAATTTGAATGTGGTATGTTCTCAGCTGAACTAAAGCAGTGATACAGTTATTGTATGATGACTTAAGGACATCATTGGTAGTTGATTCAACTGAAAAAAAAAATAAAGGTAAATGTATTGATATTAAATCAATGTCTATTTTATTTGATTAGGATTCTCACTATATTTCAGGAGATGAAATACCTTGATTGTGACTTTGCTGACTTCATGTTTTCCTCAGAGATTATAAGAAAGGGCAATGCCATGTTTGCACATGAAAACATCTCTATTTAGCAGACATGCGTGTCAAAACTGCTTTAGTCTTATGCTACAATGTAATTTGTACATGTAATAAAATATGAATGTAAAATGCACTGACAATACTATGTTTTATTTATTAGCAATATTTCATTAAAATTTTTTTTTAGACCTTTCACTCTGTGAGGCAGATGATATAAAGCTCCTCTATTAATAAGGGTGGCCAGCACAACGACCAACTGCTTTTACCTTTCCCCTACAAATGTTAGATACTTATGAAAGTTGGGTGGACTCAGGGGTGCACTAAAAATCCCAAAATTCAAAATCCCAGTAGCCTCAGAACCATACACAACTGAATGAGACAACATATGTTCCAGAAACTCAAAATTGGTTCTAGTGAAATCTACCCATGTGGAATGTCACCAGAGAATGCTGAACATGTCCTTCAAATTGCATTCTTTACCAGAGGCCTGAACAAGACACTGGCTTCAAAACAAACCTATAGAAAGAAAACTATATGGAGAGCTTCCTAATTTGGAAGCCACTGCACAGTTCATCTCATATATTGGTCAAGTCATTTGAACACTCTAACATAATAATGAGGAGGAAGAAGAACAACAACAAAAATATCACCAGGATTTGAACCAAAGACCCCTAGGTTCAGAAGCCATGTGCTTTACCACTCAGCCATAGAATGTAAATTGTGATTTATTTTAGTACACATAATAAATGCTAATCCCCAATAGCAATAACATTTTCAATGTGGCCCAGCCCAGTTTTAAAGGATTAATAGCTAGCAAAGAAGAAAAAAAAATTACCCAAGTGACGTAGACCATAAGGTCTGTTTTCTAGGTATTCAACAAATCTTCTGTGCTCAGGAGGCATGTAATTTCTCATTTTCACTAAGAACTCTTTTTGACCTTTAAAAAATGTATAATAATAATAATAATAATTATCTTTATTGTCCGTAAAGAAATTTGTCTTACAAACAAAACATTGTAACTATAAAAAAACAAAATGTACATTCACACCAGACTCGCTTATAATTTACATGTGGTAAAATCACAAAATCCTGACCCAAAGGGAGATTATTTATTTATAGAATCTGTTTAGCTTTTTTATGGATGTTTGTCTCAAACAGCTGCCTAAATGTGGGTTGTTTTTTGCCAATGACTTTACCAGCAGCATTTAGGATTCTATAGAGTTTATTTTTATTTTTTAATGCTCAGATTGCCATACCAGACAGTGATATTACAACTTAAAATATTGCAGATGTGAGCGTGATAAAACATAGCCAAGGCCTTTTCACTAACATTAAATGAGGACAGTTTTCTCAGTAAAGAACATTACAATATTTACATCAGCTGAATGTCTGTTAATTACATTTTTAATAGTTTTTTTTTTTCAGTCAAGTAAAATTCAAAGCTAAAAAAGGTATTTTGTAATTATTTAGAAAGGATACATTTTGAAAGCAAAAATGTTTTTTTCCCAAGCAGTTTTATTAGTGATTGTTAAAAAGGATGATAATTGTTGTTTTTTAAACTGCAATAAAATATACTACAATATTTCCTAGTTGATGCATTAAGTCTAAAGGTATTTTAAAACCAAATATAGTAAACATTCTTTCCATGCAAAATCTATAACAAAGAGGAAATGTTAGCAATCATTTCCATCATCATGGCTTTAAAGCAAAGACTTAAAACCATACCCATAAAATGAGATGTGACAATGTGACTATCTTTATCAATTGGAAAAGGACACCCAAGTTGTAAGAATTAAAAATGGCATCAAATGTTGTCATAGAATATATTACTTTCATTTATTTATATGTACATGTAAAGTCCCCAGTCAAAATATAGGGCAAACTTTGTCTACAATTTAAAATTGATATTTAACATATTTATCATCTCACATATCTTTTTTTTTCAAACATCATATACTTATCACATAGTCTCAATACGATAAAGTAAAACTAAACATTTTTATGATGTGATTGAAACAAACAAATGAGTTTTGACATAGGCTAATAGATTTTAAAATATTTCCTTACAGTGTGAAATTCTATATAAAGTAAAAAGACACAAAAAGTAAAATTAAACAATGCCAGTCAAAATTAAGTTAATTAAGTTCAACCCCAACCAATTAAGAAACTTTGTTCGCATTATGACAGTTCAACCCCAACCAATTAAGAAACTTTGTTCACATTATGACAGTTCAACCCTAACAAATTGTAAACTTTGTTCACATTATGACAATTCAACCCCAACCAATTAAGAAACT